TTGGAAATAATTTTGATGTCTTTCAAATTTATTATTGACAAATTTTTACAAAATAGTTTTGTTATATCAAAAAGGGAAGATTGATAAATGTAATTAAATGATTTTGATATAACAAATGACTAAATTGAAAATTTTATCAAATTAATATCTTATTTGATTAAAAAAATTAAGTGTGTAAAAATAATTTTTGAGAATCAAAATGTCAAAAATAAATTTTTGAAATTTATAAAGTTTTAAAATATTGTTTAAATATGAAACAAGGTCAATTTTTTAGGTTTTTTAGTATGGTTTCGAAACCCTTGAGGTAGTAGCCAAAACTGACCTAAAGGTTTTGAAACCCCCTGTTCAATGATAAGATTTTTTAAATGAGGGTTTCAAAACCTCTATGCATGTTTGTATTCAATGCACGAAATTAATGCTTCAAACGGCTCTAAACTCTCTCCGACAACCACAAAAGACTAGAAATCAATGAGAGCATATAAAAGGGGTCTTCAAACAACCAAGAAAAGAAAAAAAAAGCTATTCCAACAATCAAAGAGCAAGTAGAGCCAAATTTGTATTCCATTGTCTTTCTTACATAGAACACTATTGCATTCATTGTATTTTTCATTCTATCTGTGTGAGCTTCAATTTGCAAACATTCTATCTTTGTGAGGATATTCAAAGTTTGCTCATTTGTATTTACTTCTTTAGGGTATAAGTTTTAGTGTTGTGTAAGGTTACACCTTGTCCTAAAAGGTTTGAACAAATTAGTAAATTTGTTGAAATCCTTAGTTAGGAAGCTAAGGTAGTAGATGTAGACTTCATTAAGGAAGTTGAATCATTCTAAAATTCTTCATTAAGAAAAAAAATGCATGATAATTTATGTAGTTTACTCTTTGGTCCCTTTGTTATAGGTCTGGTGAACCATGTAGTTTACTCTTTGAGTGACCAAGGCGGCCACTTTGTTATAGAAACTCCGTTCTGTATGGCTCCTTATGCTCCTACAACTTCTCGATCAAATTAAGCTATCAATCCTTTGTTTCCTACTTCGCTTACAGATGCTTCAGTGCAAGGCGCAAGCTCATCAAATGTGGAATACCTGTTCAATTAATTCATACAAATTATTATATTTTAAATATTATTTTTAATATAAAAAAAAAAAATATTTAAATAAACTCAAAGTATTTAAAAAACATATAAACATTTAAAATAAAATTAGTTCAATGTTTATATTATAAATTTAATTAATTTAATTTGTATTATGATTAATATATTTTTATAAATATATATAATTAATTATCATTCCAGTTTAGTTTAAATAGCTTTGTTTGATAAAATCTCCAAAGGATGGAAGTTGGCTCGATTGTTGTTAATTTAATAAAAAAAATCATTATTATTAATTAATTAAATTAGAAATATTTTTTTACTACCATGACATTATATATGAATATGTCACATTACAAGCAAACTTTTAATGTTTAATTAACTAATAAATTCCATCCAAATAGAAAACATTTTACCCCAAAATAAAAGTTAATCATTTTTGTCAAACATTAGATACTATTTTTTTCATCATGCCATTATTTTACATTCAAACCTTTATGATTTTATATCATATTAAAAAAATTGCATTCAAAATTTAATTTTAAAATGAATACATTTTGTCAAACATTAGATACTATTTCATTATGCCAATATTTTACATTCAAACCTTTTTTTTATTTTATATCATATTAAATAAATAGCATTCAAAAAATTAATTTAAAAATGAATACATAGTCAAAAAGTGTAATTTAGAAGGGCATCAGAATTGCAGAATAACAGCAAGGCTTTGGAAGCCATTCAGTCCCGAAAGATGGTATTTTTAATTGCTATCCTCATTGCCCACAATCAATAACTTTAATTTATTAAACAAAAAGCCATACGAGTCTCATGGCCAATCCCAAGAAGTAAAAGCAGCAACGCCGCTCCACAAGGCGATGGAATATGGGACTTCCGTCGACGGAGGAACTCCCCGGAAGGGGTACCATCAACGTCGACTAAGTTTATATATGACATTACCTTTGTGAAAGGGATTTTTGATCCCCCGTCATATTCATACTACAATCAGTAAAACTAAACCAATGTTTACATCTTTAACTTAGATAAAGTTAAAAAGTGAGAATTTCAAATATCTAAAAGTAAGTGAATTGGAATGTACGTCTCATGGCAAGTCCCACATGGTAAAAGCAGCGCGCCGCTCCACAAGGTGATGGAATATGAGAAAACCCATCGACGGAGGAACTCCCCGGAGGAAGGACCGTTTACATCAATGAGCGTTTTTATGTGACTTTATCATGGGGATATACAAACTAAATCAGGTTTGCCCCGATTTACAGATTAGGATTTAAAACGAACGTCACAGTAGACTGAACAAAAATCAATAAAAAAACAAGAAATCAAATACGAATTTCATTAAAAATGAAACACTTAAAGCAAAATGTAACTTCTCCAACGCATATCAACTAAAATCGAATCGACTAAAGGGGTTGCACACTAATATAACAGGAAAAATAGCTTACTGCTGCTAAGGAAGGAGGTGTTCTGCTGTTAATTTATAGCCTGGATTTAGTGGCTGCCCTAACTAGGGCTTACTACTGCATTAGAAATAAAATTCCAATATATTCATGGAACCCGAAGACCTAAATTTCGGATGGCACAACGCGGAAGCCCAATAGTTATGTACTTTACGGGGTTTTTTTAATAGGGGAATAATGAGAAAACTTTTGGGTAAACTATGTCAATGGTCACTAATGTTATGATAAGTATTCGTTTTTACCACTAATGTTAAAAAGTCATAAATCGGTCACTAATGTTATGATAGGTATTCAAAATGGTCACTTGACGTTAACAGTCGTTAATAGGCATGACGGAAAACACAACTGGACCATTATCTGCTAAGTTGGATCGTTGACCGCCAATTTGACTGGCTTTTTTCTTCTTCAACCCATTCCCTATCTTTTTCTTCACTTTTCTTCTTCTTTCTTTCTCTTCATTTTCCTTCATTTTTCTTTTTTTCCTCTTATCACACACATGACACAACCCTCACCTCCGAAAGCCAAACCAAACATGGAAACTTGTTTCATCATCATCACCATTTATCTACTTCTTGGAGCTATTTTTAACCTCCGCTCCTCCACCTCCAAAACACAATCCCAAACTCTCCCTCTAGGCCCTCCCAACATTCCCATTATTTCCACCATCCTATGGTTAAGGTGAAACCTTTTCGAGCTTGAGACGATCCTCCATAACCTCCACACAAAGCTTAGTCTGATGGTCACTCTCAATATTCTTTCTTGCCCCGCCATTTACATCGTCGACCGCCTCGATGCTCAGACCGTAATGGGCAAGATTACAAACTGCAATTGACATAGCATAAACTCAGCTTCTTTTGGTCCTACTTGGAGACTTTTGAGGTGTAACCTCACATGCCAAATCCTCCATCTTTTGCGTGTCAAATCGTATGCTCGAAAATAGGTTCTTCAAATCATGAAGATTCAATATACTTAATTTTTTGCCTAAGGTGACTTGGTTTTTGCTTCGTAAAAGTTGGAATGAGTTCCTCAATGTCGTTGAAGACGAGGAGAAGGTGTTGGTTCATCTAATAAGAGCCCGAAAGAAATTGAATGACAACGACATCTCGGTGTACGTTGATACGTTGCTCTGTTTTTTACTCCCGAAGGAAAAAAAGAAACTAACGAAAAAGGAAATCTCCATCTTGTGTTTCGAGTTTTTAAACGTCAGAACATACATACATTATGCTGTTTTGTATTGGATCTGACAAACATGGTGAAATACCCTCATGTTCAAGAGAAACTATTCATGGAAATCAAAAGGGGTAGTGGAAATCAAAGAGCTCCAAGAAGTAGAGAAATGGTGATGATGATGATGAAGCAAGTTTCCATGTTTGGTTTGGCCTTTGGATGTGAGGGTTGTGACATGTGTGTGATAGGAGGAAAAGAAGAAAAATGAAGAAAAGTGAAGAAGAAGAAGATGGGAAATGGATTGAAGAAGAAGAAGAGCCGGTCAAAATGGCGGTCAATGATCCAACTCAGTAAATAACGGTCCAACTGTGTTTTTCGTCACGTCTATTAACGGCTATTAACTTCGAGTGACTATTTCGTAACAAACGATAATGTTAGTGACCGATTTGTGACTTTTTAAAATTAGTTGTAAAAACAAACACTTCCTAACATTAGTGACCATTGACGTAGTTTACCCAAAATTATTCGGGATTAATCTTTAATTCAATGAAAATAGTTGGGATAATTCTAAAGTATTGAACTATACAACTAAATAAATTATAATATTATACTTGAACCATAAGAGATAATATCTATAAAAATTTAATAATATAATCATTTAAATACATAGTAATAATATATATATTTACATTGTAAATGATATTTATTTAAAAAAAAGGTGATGAACAGGGTAAAATACGGAAATTTAGGATAAATTACAATTTTGGAACTCCATACCATACATATTTTTATAATCTAATGAGTTAATTGTCTTTTTAGTTTGTATACTATTATGAATTCTTCAATCACTTTGTATCATGGAATTTGATGCGACATATATTTGGCGGAGAGGGAGGACTAAAGGAATCAAGTGAATGAAATTAGAAATTGACTGTACAAAACCGAACCTATTTCAAGACAACAAATACATGCTATTTTAGCATAGATACAGCCCTCCCTTGACATGTCAAAATCTAGTCCTACCAGATAGATGGCTCTTCTCATCTTCATGCAACTAAATTCTAAACATCACCCACCCTTCTTCATCGACTCTACATCCGTGATGCTCCTCGGCTTCTGCAATTGTCCTTTTTTCTCCAACCCGCAGGGTCTTATAGGATCACAAAAATGAAAGCATACCCTTTGTCTGCGGATGACATCAGTTTTCAAATAAACAGTTCACCCGTTTCAGACCAACAGCTCCAATGTAACCAGTCCAGTAGAACATGCGACGAGAATGTCAACTATATGCAAGAGTCTCTGAAAGAATTAACTAGTGTAATAATCCTACAAAATCTTCAACTGAAAGAATCTGGGGAAGAATTGAAACATATTTGTGCATGAATCATTGAAAAGGCTGTTTGTCGTCAGGGGCACAGCAGAGATGTTCACCCTAAAACATAATAGCAAAAAGTTTTCAATTCTTCCCAGAAAATACACCTGTTGGACTGACTAAATTGCATCATAAAAGCAACTAGTTTATCAGATATACCATCAAAAGATATAATTTGTTTAAATCATCAATTTCAAATCAAAGATTATTTTTACTGTGAAATATACATACACTATGCCTTCTCAAATGAATTTCTCCCCAGAGTTTATTCGTTTCAGCAACATAAAAGAATGGATCATGAAATCAAAAACATTTACCGCAGAAAAATGAACTTTTTTATGCCATGGTACAGACTGAAGAACATACATATACACTTACCTTCTGTTATGTTTTGATGGTTTTGACTAGAAGTCTCTTGCACAATAGGATTTGCTGACCGAGCGATGCGTTTAATACGGCTTAATCTTAATCTTTTCGATACTAAACCTGAATAACAGATCTTTTATATATATAAATTTGGAATCTGGAATTTTTCAGTTCATTTATAAATGGTTTCAAATGTACATCAATCAGATAATTAACATCTATGATCTATCCTTAAAACAATATAAACTAAGATGAATCCGTAAACTTACAATTGGAAATTCCGTTTTCCTTCATCATCCCTCCAATTGCAAGCCCTTTACAAACATGGTCATTTATTGCCCATGCCAGATGTTTTATGCGATTCAAGCGTACCTTACAGGGCAGAACAGCTAACTTACGAGCAGGGATTTCCAAACCTGTTGAGTAAATTACAAGAAACAAGTAAGAACACAGGACATGACAACCATTAATGCTAGAAGTAAAGTAGTGGAAGCTAACTCTGGGAGCTTCTCGTATCCAGCATTAGTCTATCGTGACCATGATTGGGATCCACAACAGCAGCAGCATTAAACTGAGGACTTGAGCTTGAAACAGAATTGCTTAAGGGCGAGTGAATTGTTGAAATGCTCGTGCTTTCTTCAAATTGAACGGGAGGTGGAAGGGTGTACAACCGAGCAGTTTCAGCTCTCTGTCTCCGCAATTGATAGTTTCTTCGGCGTCGAGCGAGATCCTTCTCTCTCTCCTCATGGCTCATAGATTGCCTTCTTTCCCGGTCCCTTAAACGACGGCGTTCTCTCTCTAGCTCTTTGCGCAACTCTGATCTGCTTGCTATCCCTTCCATAATCATCCCAAACAAATTCACCAGAATCACAACCTTAATAAATATATATGTTCCAGTGCACCTTTTTATTTTTCTGCAAAACGAATTTTAAAAACTTATGCTTAAATTTTTTTATAAATAAATGAATTCAAAATTATATTTAGACAACAGACGATGGAATTAAGAGGAAGCTAAATCACCATTAAATCATTATTTTGCGCTCTTGATCTTAAGAATAACTCACGAATGAAATTATCAACAAAAAAAAAAGGAAAAGAATCATACGTATATATAAGAGAAATATGGCAGGAATGAAGAGAAAGGGAACGAACCTATTACCCGTTCTAATTTCTATTCCTGCATCTAATTAGGACCCGTTTTTGCCCTTTTTTTTTTTTTTTTTTTTTTTTTGCTGTTTTGGTTTGTGTCGAATGGATCCGAAATCATGAAACGCAGAACAAAAGTCTCTTCACATGCATGCATTCACTTTGCCAATGAGCCCAAATGGCTGCGTTTCTCGGTTTAAACCGGGAAAAAATCGACATCTTCGATTTGATTTTACTAAGTAAACTAATATTTTTAACAAAATAATAATATACTATATTTTAGGATAAGTACACAAATAGTCCTCCAACTATAAGGTGTTGTTTTTTTGAGTCTCCGACTATTAAAAGTTAAGAATGATCATCCAACTATTCATATGTTTCAAACACTCAAACACTTCCTTTCATGTTAAAAATTGACAGTTGTCTAAATTGAATGTTAATCTACTGATTAAGATATGGTAAAATATGATTTCAGAATCTCAAACGATTATACAATTCAAACGGTCATAGGATCATATTTTATCAAATCTCAGTTTGAAGGTTAATGTCCATCTCAGACAATTATCAATTTGAAAAATGACGAGTTTGGAACATATGAATAGTGGAGATGGTCATTTTACAACTTTTAATACATGACGAACTAAACAAAGTAGTAGTGATAATTTTATAATTTTTAATAATCAAGAGACTCAATAAAATAACAACCTATAGTCGATAAACTATTAATATACTTTACCCCAATATTTTATTAATATATATATATATATATATTTATAATTAGTTCCGTTTAATCTGTTATAGGGTTGTAAATGAGACGAGACAGATCGCGAGCTACTCGAGATCGACTCGATCAAGGCTCAATAAATACTCGGATCGAATGGACTCGACTCGAGCTCGACTCGAGTTCTTAACGAGCCGAAACGAGCTACTCAATATTCGACTCGAAAAGCTCGTGAGCAGTTCGAAAAAAATGTTATATTTTAATTTTAGATTTTTTAAAATTACATTATTAAAAATATATTAAAAATACATTATTGATAATTATAAAATTTTAAAAATATATTAAAAGTTCTATAATACAACTACCCTCAAATTTTAATTTTTTTAATTAACCAGTCTAAGTCCAATTGTTACATTGTATATTACTAAAAGAAAAATAAAAACTCATTTAATTAAGCACATGTTAGATTACACATGTTTGGTTGATTTTTATTTTAACTTTTTGTTGCACAAGTACTTTACAACATAGAAAACTAAAATAAAAAATAAGAAAAAAACAGCCAAACAATAGAAAAATTGAAAATGGTTAAAAATATTTTTGAACAAATATTTTTATATTTATTTTAAATTAATAAAAAATTATTTATCTAATGACAAATATTTAATATATTTCTAATGATAATATTTATCCAATTATGTGATAGATGTTAAGTTATGCACATGAAGGTAACATACAAATTATGCAAAATGATGTTATGTGACTCCTAAATAAATCATTCGCATACTTATACATAAACATATCAACATGCAAAATAAATATACACAACTTGTTGATCTAGACATGATTTTATCATATCTTAATGATGACTATCGACACCGTAATTGCTTTCAAGCACTGACTCACCAACATAATATTTCAAGAACTGACTCGACGACATAATGTAAATGGAGATTTGATGTACAAATACAACTAAAACGATAGGATCATATTTTATCATACCCTAGTCAACAGGTTAACATCAATATCATACAATCACCATCGGTGTCAAAACATTCGTATTTTACTCTTCTTTATTCTCATATGAATATTTTCTATGAAATTCACTGATTTAAAATTTTGATATACTAATATTTCGATCTATTCTAACGATTGTCCAACAATACTAATTTTGAAATATGTAATTTGTATATTTGAAATAATACTTCTTATTCTTCAAATTTTCAAATAGAAAACTTCAAATTCCTGAAATTTAAGAAAGCCACCAATCCTCATGTCTCCAGCAGACAAGCTGCCGCTGATTTGGAAGATTTACGAGTGTACATAAGAAACAGGATCCTGACTCGTTCAGAGTCGGTCACATTCTGAAACAAATGTATCTTATATATCTGGTGTGCACAACCAATTTACAAAAAGGTAACCAAAGGCTTATCCAGATTTGGATGAAATCAAAACTTCCCTCAACATAGAACAACACTTAACCTTATTCTTCAGATACTCTGGATTTGTAGAGAGGGCCTGAACCAAAGCACTTCTATCCTGTCAAAGGGAGTAACAATGAAATATGAGCATTTAGCATGAAGGGCATTTGCTAAAACATGTTTACGAAACCAAGAATTATTATGACATATTGATGAGACTTTTGCTAGTTCATACATATATACACCTCTGCTATTTCCTTGGTCAATGAAGCATCCCAATCATCCAAAACCAGTATAATATAATAAATTACTAGGTGAAGCGCAGATAAGTCGAACAATTCACAAACCACGCACATCAGACAAGTTTGAAACTAGCCAACTGAAGCATGCAGGCCTTGGGTCAGATATATAAACAGCACATACAGATTCATGTCAGTAGTTACACGAATTGAAAGCAAACTTTGCAGTAATTTATCTTAGTGAAACTTAAAAAGAAATTACCACAATCATAATGTACATAAATCAGATTGTCAACCAATATGCAGACAAAATGCAAAGGGTAATGAACAGAAATTTTACTTTTGTTGCTATATGCAAACAAGTAGAGATGGCATACCTTTACCCAAAGTGTTGAACAATCAAAATTAGTTAGAAACCAATGGTAAGGTCATGTGAAATTGTTTCACTCAGCAACTCTGGTGAAAGTGCATAGTTGGTAGAAGAGTTTGCCTTTAGCAGCCTACAATTCTCAGGATGGATTCCTGCAATCTGCCATTGAATGGTAAATATATGATTCGATTAGCTCAAACAGACAACATGAGTATTTACTACAGTGGCTAAATAATATACATAGATCAAGTAATCGTACACCATTTGAACATCATCAGATTCTCATTAATCTCACATAAAGGAGTAAAGAAATAAAACTAGAGATGGACCCTAATTCACATGGATACCTGGCAGGCTTTTTGCAAGGAAAAATGTGTTTGATCGGGTGCATAAACTACAAGCTTTTCAAGCTCATCTTTTCCAACCACCCTCAAAACATTGTCACGGGCAGCCAATAATACAACTAGAACAGCTTCACTTGCCGTGCCCTGAATCACTCCGCCACCTTGTCCTGCGACACAATTACCGATCTCATTCCATAAACTTTAGAGATATTTTACACTTTCATTCTTGTGGTGCTAGAAAGAATTCAATGAAAATGCCTCGACCCAAAATTGCATTCTATATCAGAATTTTTTAAATAAAAGAAATCCCAAGTCCTTGCCTGCTGAAAGGAAATCTTCAGGTAGCTTAAGCATCTTAGCAAGCCAATCCAAAACAATCATTTCAAGCTCAGTTGCAGCAAGAGATGTAATCCAACTGAATCCAACAATATTGATACCAGCACCAAGCATTTCTCCCAAAAATCCAGCAACGCTGCTATTGGAAGGATAGTATGCAAAATAATTTGGGTTCTGCCAGTGAGTAACCCCTGGCAATATCTTTGCCTGAATGTCTGCAATCAGAAGAATATTTATTCATGAAAAAGAATACAATGCAATAACTAGAGTATTTATTTAGGGGAACCAGGATTTATTAACTCAGAGCTGTTGAGTTTCGGGAGAGAAGAAGAGGAAGAAGAAGATGCACAGTATACGATATTTAGCTTGAAAGATAAAATGTATTTCCTTCAGATGCTCCAAAACGTTGAACTTGAGTTGGACATGTGAGATGATATCCACATCGGTGGTTCTGAATAAGGGGTAAAGTCGAGTGTATAAAAGGGGATGAGTTTCAGTAAAAGAAAATTAACTCTTTCGAGCTTGAATCGAGCTCAAATTTGAGCTTCAATCGAGCTCGAGTCTTGAGCTTCAATCGAGCTTGAGTATTGAGCTTCAATTGAGCTTCTGAATTTTTTTTGAGTTCGAGTTTTTTCGAGTTCGATTCGAGTTTTAATAATATATTTCGAGTTCGAGTTCGAGTTGAACTTCATATTTTTTAGCTCTCGAGTTTTCGAGTTGAGACAAACTTACGTTTAAAGGTTTTGAGTTTGAGTTGAACTCAATGTTGCGGAAGACGGCTATCGGATAGAGCAAAATCGCAACTGATAATTTGAGAAAATAGAAATGAAGATAAAAGAGACACAAAATTTACGTGGAAAACCCCTAAAAATATAGGGTAAAAACCACGGGCAACGGTAGAAGAATTTCACTATGAGAAAATAGGAATTACAACCTCTCTCGATCTACCAAGGAGAAAACAATGATAATTCTCTCTAGATAAAAAGGAGAAAACAACTCTCAAGAAACTCTCTAAAATCTCTCTAGTATTGGAAGAAAGCTAGAATGCTTTGGGATGGTTTTGAAGTTAAATGAGCTAGGGTATTTATAGTTGAAGCTTTAAGGACTAATTTGTAAATACCCTAAATTACAATGACTAATTGCATAGTTTTACCATCTAAAATTTTCAACAATTTGGTGGCCAAATTTGACCAATTTTGCCACCCCATTAATGCCACCAAATTGCCACCCATAATGTTGACAATTGATGCAATTTGGTGTGTCAATTTTCAACAATCTCCCACTTGAAGATTTGATTGGAACAATCATATCTTCACACCATTCTTTCTACCTTGTACCTTTCATGTTGCTTACGTTTCTGACAGGCCAC